TGAAAAATTTTCAATGAAATGACTGAACATCGAGTGCACATCCTCATAATCATAGAGAGCTTCCCAGTTAATTGAATTTAAATCATTGCACAAATTTAATATTCTAGATGTTGAATACGAAAATTTGCAGATTGGTTTCTCAGAATATGATGCTTTTTTGTAGCTCGTTTTTTTGTCTGTGCGTAATTCTTTCAGTATCAAGAAAATTGGTAAGTGATCAGATAAGTCACAAGCGATCACTCCGCAGAATACATTTTTGTTGAGTGTGCTTGTGAAAATGTTGTTGATGGTTGACTGTTTTTGTGGAGAAATTCTAGTTGCGCAATGTATGACTTGATTTAATCCAAACGAAGACATCAGTTGCAGCAGAGAAGAATCATCACCTGAAGTTGAACAATCAACGTTGAAATCACCGGTAATGAACAACTCTTTCTTTCCACAATTAACTAGCAATATGGCTTCTTCAAGGTTTGTTAAATATTTATTTAAATCATAGGATGGAGGTCTATATGTCACCATCAATAATTTGTTGCGACTCGGCGATTTGTTAACAGTTTTTAAAACAAAGATTTCAATGTTGTCCATGTTATGATGTTGCGTTATTTTCATCAACTGGTTTCTTCTGCTCGAATCGCCATTCACGTACGATGACATACTTTGGCATAATTTCCGGATTCTTCATTCTGACGGCATCGTCACTTTCAACGCAGACGCGAAACAGTGTTGATTGCTCATGTTCAGTTGCTGCCGCATTTTCCGCTTATGATGGAACCTGGATATCCGTCGGCTGGCTTACTTCATCGGTTTAGGTATCATCTGCCTCTGAAGTCTTTGAAATTTGCGATTGAACAGTTGAAATTGAACTTGCATTGTCTGAATTTTCAGTTGCGAATTCTTTCATTATTGCGTCGCTGCACCCTTTTCTTGATTTCAACATGTTATTTATTTTGGTTTTTAGCGCTTTCAGTTCAACCTGCTTTGCTTTCAATGCCAGGTCGAACTGAGCGCTCTGGTCGAGCAAAGTTTCCTTTAATTCGTTTTTTAACGAATCAAAATTCAAATTCATTAAATTTTCTATTTTCGGGACTTTTGCCATATTCAGACTGACAAAAATCGAGCATTTTTCCAGATAGTTATTTGTTTTCAGGTATTTGAACAAATTTACGCAGTCAAGTAATTTATCCTTTTTCGTATTCCCGCGCGACTGGAATTTTTCCATTTTTTCATGTTTTAACAATTTCAGAGCTGCAACGATATTCTCATTTGTGTAGAAATCCGAAATGTTGCCAACAAACGATTCTTTTTCTATTAACTCCAAGTTATTATTTAAATAATAAAGTAGCTCATTAACAACAAACTTGCTAGTCGCCATTTTATTACATACACAAATACAGACAAACACATATACTGACTTGACACACATACACACACACACGAATACAGACACGCACATACTGGCACAAGCACACGAATACAGACACACACACATACACATACAGACCCACTTACATACATTTTCATATAAATCCTATGTTGTGCAAAGCTTCTTACTGCTTCATAGCTGATGTCAATCTTTTATTTTAGTCCGCTGAATGTTGGTCTAAATGTTTTTCATTGCAAAAAAGAAATCTTTGCCTTCCTGATTTTAAATTAAACGGGTTTCTCTCTGTGTGCGTGCGTGTGTGTGTAAGCGTCTGTCTATGAGTTAGTGCATATGTATGTGCGTGTCTGTGTGTATATGAATATATATTTTGAGATTTCAATGAGAGAAAAATTATTGAATAAAGCTTGAACTTGCACGATGAAAAATGCTTCTTTAACATCAACAATTTTTGTCCAAAAAAACAACGACACAATCACACACACAGACAGACACACAGACAAACACACACACACACATACACACACACACATACACACACATATACTAACACGTTTTGGTTCAGGCAGTACACGTACTACATTACATATGTTTCACCCTGTACTATGTAGGTCAGCAAGTAGGTCAACCTACAAAGCAGTATCTGTCGGTGGTGATAATGATACTATCATTTATAATACAAATTACTACATAATATATAATACAAATACTATCAGTTATGATACAAATACTATCAGTTATATAAATGATAGTTTTAATTGTTATATAGACGATATGATATAGAAGAATGATGATGACGGTGAATGTTTTTAATGGTTACTAGACAAAAAAAACTTGGAAACAAAGAAGTATTTGCGAATGAATATTCACGAGGTTATTGTTAAAACGGCGGAGTTACAAGAATTATATATATATATATATGCATGTATGTATATATATATGTGTGTGTGTGCGTGTGTGCGTGTGTGTGTGTGTACGTGTATAAAAAGAAGATACAAAGAACTGTTGAAACCTTATTTTATCTGACTAAAAAATTTGACAGCGTTGCGTTGTATATGATTTGCCAACGTGGGTAGTTTACTGTTTTTGTTTTAATGATTTGTAACAGTACATTCGATATTAAGTAGAAAAATTGTATTTTAATAGAATTACATTAGAATTAATTACAATAGAAAAAATAGTTATCCTTTTATATTGTAAACATAGTTGATTATTATGTCAGAATAAATAACTTTTTATTCGCCGCTACTACTATATGATAGTAATTAAGACATAATTAGTTATTTATAACAGATTATTATAAATTAATTAATTATAATAATAAGTTTGAAGGAGGAAAATCATGAGATCAAGAAACTGCAAATAACACGTGGCCGAAATGGATGATGAAAGTACCGGAAATTTTCATTAATGACAATGGTAGTCTTAATTTATGATAACATTAACATAATTTATGATAACATTAACATAATTTATGATAACATTAACATAATTTACAATAATGTTACCGATACTTGGTAACGTATTTTATGATACTCGCCAAGATACTGATAACATGATTTATAATAATGACAACGTTGGTGATGATAACGATTGTGATAAAGAAGAAATCTATGACGATGATGATGATGCTGATAATGATGATTTAGAGAGCAGCGTTGATAGCGATGGATTCGTAGTTCTAAATGACCATGTTGGCTATAATAACAATAATAATAAAAGCAAAAACAATAATAATGTTAAAAATAATGGGAACAAATCAATTATTTTTTCATCAAATGCGTAAAATCAATAATTAGTTAAATAATTAATAGAGAAATAGTCATGATTAAAAAGAAATCATAATCATCATAGTTAGTCATCATTGCTCTTCATTTAAAATAAAATAAGTACAGCGATATTTTTCAGATATGAAAAATGATTCACGCTTTGTTCCGATCAAAATATATGGCATATGATGATGATATCACACTGCTAATTAAACATTGACGGTGAAATAAATGGTTAATTCGATGATTATTGACACAGATGTAAATGAAGATAACTCTTCTAACTTTCAACTGATAAAAAACAGAAAACACTAACAAATCCGAACAGGAACATGAACACTAATTTACGGCAAGACTCGTGCTGGGGGTGCCTAACTCCTAAGTCATAAATGGCCGAATAATTGTTGAGCGAGGCCGAGTGGACTTGTTTATGGAATTCAACAAAATGGGTGCCAAGATGGCAAGAATAGAAAAGATTACAGATACATTGAACTCAGGACGGATTTTGTTCCTCATTTGTGTGGTTCAGCCAGAGTAATATTGTCCAAAACGGACATTCTTGCAGATGTGAAAGTTGAAATAGGTGAACCATCAAAAGACTCACCTAAGGAAAGATACCTGAAATTCTTCATTGATTGTTCAGCAAATGCCACTCCTGACTTTAAGGGCAGAGGCGGTGTGAGACATTAGCAGAAGGCATCAGTTCCATGCTCGAAAACATTTAATCACACAAATCGACGCTTGACTATGAAATGCTAGGCATCGTTCCTGGAAAAAATTGTTGAGTCCTTTACGTCGACGTCTTGATCCTTGAAGTAGGTGGCAACTTGATTGATGCCATATCTCTAGCTGTCAAAGCTCCGATGACCCGTATGATTGCTTCAAACTCGATGTGTTTCGAGCGTCTTGCATTGCTACGTTAAAAAAGGTTTTGGATAAATATATTGTAGACGCTTCCCTCGAAGAAGAAACATGCATTTCATCAAGAATTGCTTCCCTCGCAACAACAGCAGCAGCCGTCAAAATTAACCCGTCAAAAAAACAATTGAAGTATTTGGATAATAGAAAGCGTAATAAAGAGAAATTATTAAATTTGGAAAAAACTTTTCAAACTGCTGCCACAGCTTTTTCTAATACCAAATAACATAATTTTTGTGAATCCAACTTCTACCAACCAGTTTACAATAAAAACTTTTAAAAAAAGTAAATTTTTGGGAAAGAGGTATTATGTCTATGAGGTATCTGATAATAATGCTGGATCTACTGAAAATAAAACAAAAATGCTGCAGAATGTCGTTCCCTTACCAGGTCTAACAAGTGAAAATGTTCTTAATGACGATTTTATACCTGTATCTGCATCATCGACGTCGACTGTAAAGCTAAGGAAATCAAAACATTTTAGCATAAATGTTAATAAAAGTCATTTAAAAAGCGAAGAGCCCACGAATACAAGACAAAAAGAAGAAATAAACAGTTGAAAGATCACCTGCAATATATTGATTATGAAATAATGGTTATGGAGCTTCGTCGAAAGACGATGAATTGTCACACCACTTACGTCGAACTTATGGATGATGATGTTAACAATGATGATGATGGTGACGACGATGACACCAACAATAACAATAAGAATAAGACTAACAATAATAATAATGATAATATAGTGAACTCTATGGTAACCGAGGGTAACGATGATAGTGATGATGACAGTACTAGTGGTAGAAATGATGATGATGATGCCGATGGGGTTTTTGCGGTCATTAATAGTATGGTGGTTGTTGTTGATGATGATGAGTACATATTAGCATGTTTCATCAAAGAAAGAAAAATAAAAAAGAATAAATATCAAAATGTTAAGGGTGAAGATGATATACTTCTTTTCTTTAAATGAGAAATCGTTAGAGGATTTAGAAATGAAAGTACAGTTTTACAGCAGTCCCTTTAAAAAAAGACAACCAACAAGGTAAAACATTTATGGGATTAAACCCTTACAAATATTTAATGATGGTCTGGGAAATTAAAATAGCCAATAGAAGAAAGATAAATTCGAGTTTTTCAATTTTATCTTCATCAGTATTTACTTCATCAGCAGCAGAAAAAACCATGTTTTCCAACAATTTTCAAAAGACTAGAATCAAACAACAAGTACAGCCACCATACCCGGAATCTTAAGGGAAAACAAACCGACGCTTTACTGGGTCGATTCCAGACAAAAACGATATGTTCAAGCAGCGGGCTACAGCGTTTTGGGTTTGGTAACATCAAAACTAGGAAACAATTACAAAGTGGACATTGGGTCACATGATCTGGCCGTCTTGTGATACCTTTCGTTTGAGAGAGACGAGAGACGAAACGGGACGGGAAGGACACAACAGAACTTACGCAACAGATAGGACTCCAGACATAGAAATAGCTTTTACTCGTAGCATTTATTTTATTTGTATATATCACCTCGTTTTGGAAAAAGAACAGTCAAATTAAAATGGGTGAGTTTGTATTTAATTCGCTGAAATATAATATTTCTCATCGTCATAACTAACATAATAACTAAGTTGCGTAAGTCATCAATTTAATTCGTCACCACTTAACATTCGTTTAACGATAATCGAGCTTGATAGCGAGCATCACATCAGTGATCCGCTAATTCCCTGTTCTTATGTGGATACGGTATTCATCGCAACATCACGATAGAGAACCAGAACTATCTACATAATAATACAATTTACAAAGAACAACAACTACATAATAATATATTGAAGACACTCTCACTCACTAGAGCTCTTATTGCCTGTGAAAAAAACCAAATCAGCAAATTTGAAAAAGAAGGTCATATTTTTACAATTATGTAACCCCGTTTTTTGTGGACGACAGTTTGGGAGTGTCGAAATCCGGCGATTCGATAGTCAATTTTGCCCCCAGAGGTGTTTCAAATGTCCATAATCCTACTTTATCTTTGATTCCGCCATACAACTATAAAGATATAAGTGAAGAACCTGTGAGAAGGTTGTAACATCGAACGATGGACTGGTTTACCTATGGTCTCCTGATGTGTTGCCAAGATTAGTTCATTCTATAGTTAACGACAATGCGAATAACATGAATTGTAATGTGTATGCTTTGTATTGTTTCTTTGGTTCTCACCTAAAAAGTATAATTTTAGCAAGTGATGATCTCAAATCTAGAGTTGATATTAGAACACCAAACAGTAATTTGACTGCACTACTGCACAGAAATGGAGACCATTTTCACAGCAAATAATATATAACTTGCTACCATAGACAAAAAATTATGGTAATAACTACTCATATTATCACTTCTTTGGTACCCATAATACCACAGGATTAATCGACGAAAGATACCCTAACCATCTGGTACTAAGGTGGAATCACATCTTCCTAATGGTCCCCCCTTATGACGTCGTTCCTAAAATCAGTGATGAGCGTGCCACAGGAGAGGATTTTAGGGTTGGCCTCTCAGGAACACAGTGAGGCCCATTGCTTCCACTATCACACAATAAGTCAAGGTTATCAGTATGGTGGTAGTGGTGGTTGTAGCAGCAACAACAGTAAAAATATTTTGAGGTTTTCCAAGCAAAAGTCAAGGTCTTCAAGCGTGTGGGCTCCTTTGGAAATGTTCTAAGCCCAGAGACCATTTGTATCGATATGAAACAGAAACTTATGAAGATACAATCCATACCGTTCAAGTTAATGTTGATCCCACAAATATCATGTTAGATCAAAAAAAAGATTCTGATTTTCAATCTATCGTAAAATATCTCGAGAGAAATACACTCCCAGATGATGAGAGTTTAATGAAGAAAATTTATGTTCAAATGCTAGTAAAACGCTTACAAATCATTCAGGAAAAAACGAAATAGAACGTTATTAATAACCAAATTAAGAGTAAAGCATTTTTTGACAGAGGCCAATCTTCGATCAACTTTGTAAAAGGCAGCAAAATCTGGTTACAGAACAGAAGAAGAAGAGTAGGAGAAAACCCTAAATTTTATCGAAAATACGTAGGTCCTTTCATCGTAGAAAAGAACGAAGGCTACTATCTATATTTATTGAAAGATATCAGCACTGACAAACCCTTTAAATACACAGTGAACGGTAATTTACTTAAAAAGTTTTGTGACGTTGATCAATATTATCATGTAAATCAATCAACACACACACACATAAGTACATACAAAGACTAAAACACATAAAACACGACTGACGTATTTATTGTTCCACAGAGGGAATATATTCACGCAGCAAAATGCATACACACAGACAGACGAAACCACAAACAGAGAAATATTAAATAAGAGAAAGACACACTTGACCGCAATTCATCACGACTGGTATGCAAAATATTTCAGACGAGGTAATCAGATCCATGTACAACCATTTTCGCATGTGAAACTAAGACGCCAGCGCACACAGCAAAATGCATACACAGACAGACGAAACCACAAACAGAGAAATATCAAATAAGAAAAAGACACACTTGACCGCAATTCATCACGACTGGTATGCAAAGCATTACAGACGAGGTAATTAGATCCATATGCAACCATTTTCGCATGTGAAACTAAAACGCCAACGCGCAGGCACCTTCTCCTATATAAAGAGATGCAGCATTAAGCAGAGGAGGAAAAGAAACTACAGAAGACATACACGGAACTACACGACGGACGAGACGAGACGGGAAGAAGAACATAAGACACACACGAGCCTACTCGAGAGACGGAACAAGACGGGAAGGACACAACATAACTCACGCAACAGATAGGACTCAAGACATACAAATAGATTTTATTCATAGCATTTATTTTATATATCACCTTGTTTTGGAAAAAGAACTGTAAAACCAAAATGGGTGAGTTTGTGTTTAATTCGCTGAAATATAATATAACTAACTAACATAATAACTAAGTCGCATAAGCCATCAATTTAATTCGTCACCACTATACATTCGTTTAACGATAACCGAGTTTGATCGCGAGCGCCACATCAGTGATCCGCTAGTTCCCTGTTCCTATGTGGATACATTATTCATCGCAACATCAAGATAGAGGATCAGAACTATCTACATAATAAGACAATCCACATAATATGGTGGAGAACCTTCAACATCCTCGAACACCTCTAAGAAACAAACCCCACCGAGAAAATATGACCTGAAAAAAAAAATGAACAAAACAATCAAAGAAAAGAAAAGAAAAGAAACAAAAAAAAACAAAAAAACAAAAAAAAAACAAAAGAAAAACGAACAAATTAGAAAAATAAGAATCTCTGACGAACTACAAGTAGCAGGTTAGTTTATCATTTGATGCGAACATTTCATTCAAACAATGACGAAACATCCATATGACACTCGAAGCAAAAAATCTGGCAGCGATAAACTTAGTGAACTGTTTAAGAAAAACTATAGATTTTTTAACTTCAACCAATCATCAAGCAACCCGCAACAAACAACTTCTTCACATCCCGTTCCATCAGCACCTCAACCCAGCCTACCACCTTCATCACCCAACACACCATTACATCCACCACTGTATCCACAATTAGACGTTACACATTGTTCATCACCATTACCTCCACTACCAGATACACCATCGCTATCATCTTCACCACATCACGATCAACACACATTACCACAAACGCAATTAGAATGCAATACAACAAAAGCGAACACAACTCAACAAATCGCGCTAACATCACCGCAATGCACACAACCTATTAACACTGTCACACCAACCGTTTCACAATTACAAGCAGCACTACAACTTATTCAATCAGTAGCACAACCACATTTTTTACCCGAACAACAATCAGTGTTACAACACTTTCAATCGCCAATACTAACAGCTACATCAAATGCACAGCTACCAATACCTCAATCACACGCATATGCGCAACAACAGCCAATGCATAATAACGCACCTGCAACATTAAGCGATATGCAAACACTCCAACCAACAATGTTTCAAACACCATCCATCAACGATCCAACATACCCGAAATCATTCGACGGCAATCATCAAGACGCACTAACTTGGTGGCAGTACTTCGAGAATTGGCTTACTTTTAAACACTGGCTTCCAAGCAATGATGCGAATACTCAAAGTCAATATTACGTCGATAACATGAAAACGATTGTCGCACTTTTGAGTTTGCTTTTCAAAGGTCCAGTACTTCATTGGTTGAATTCATTACCATCGCACACCAAAAGTTCATACAACGATTTGAAACGCAGTTTTCACGAGCGTTACAACCCTAGCAATTTGCGTTGGAAAAATTTGAAAAATATTTGGTCAGCGAAACAAGGATTGTTTGAATCTGTTGATGATTATTTTTTTCGTATGAGTTCTTTAGCTTCCACGGCAGATGTCGACAAGAACGATTACAACTACTTCGGCGCACTTATTGGAGGTCTACGTGACGATATCAGAAGAGACATCACCATCATGAAACCAAATAACATTGACGAACTTTATGAAGCAGCGAGGTTAGTGGAGAACAATTGTTTACATAACTCCCATGATAATGAAATCGCTAACACGCTGATGAGATTAGAAGAGTCAATTAATAATATAAAAGTTGCAAGAGTTGATGATAATGAGAACAAGTTGCGTAGTCGCGAGCGAGATGATTATGATTACGACAAAGACCGCAGATCAGATCATTACATTGATGAGAAATCAAGAAATCGTAGTGACAGCAGACCAAGTAGCAGTAGATCTAGATCGAGTAGATCACGTTCAAACTCTCCTAGAGACAGTAATAGACAGCAACAGTTTCTTCCACGAAACAAGAGCATCGAGCGAAGAGTTAGATATTACGAACCAGTTAAACAACTAAAACTTTTTAAATGCAATAACTGTGGAACAGAACACACATCAGGAAAATGCCCAGCTTACAACAAGCAGTGTTTCAGATGTAACAAGATGAATCATTTTTCTGCAATGTGTAGATCGGTTAAATCAGAATGACGTTCCGCTGCTACGCGCATCAAACAACAACAGCACTCGATATCATTCAACACACAACTCAACACACGCGACAGTTCAAAGTTTGACACCCATAACAGCAATATGATTAACATTCGCATACGCCAGCATAATTATAAAGCATTAATTGACACAGGCGCTAAGGTATCATGCATTAATGAATATGTTGCAAAACGCTTAAATTTAACAAACCATCATTTATACTCACAGCATTCATATTTATATGCAGCAGATGGAAAACCAGTTAAAGTTTTAGGCATTATAGACACTTATGTAGAGATTCAGAATTTAAAATTACATATCAAATTACATGTTATAAGAAATTTAAGCCATAATATTATTTTGGGTATCGATTTTTTAACTGATCATCAAGCTACAATTAGCATTAAAAATAATACTATTTCGTTTTATGATGATTTCATTGTTTCAACTATTAACCCACACAAACATTATAACAACAATTATTTATATCCTACCAAACATGTATCTATCCCACCATATACTGAAACATTATTTTATGCACACTCAAACCAACCAATTACGCATAATAATACATATATTGTCGAACCGCGTTTTAAACCTCATAGAGCAAAATTTTTAGTAGCACGCATAATCACACAACCAAACTCAAGCAAAAAACCGTGCCGCGTAATGAACATAACAAACAAATCAATTACAATAAAACCGTACACAAACATAGCAACAATTGAACACATTGGAATCACTCAACAACCTATGATGCGTGTAGCAAAGAAAGATCACAACCAATATAATCAACCAAAGTTCAGTCAGCATTACAATTACATCACTTCGTTAGAGAGCAGTGATGACGTGATCAACATTTCAGACCGCAAAACTCAGTTTAATGTACCGAAGTTCAACAAACTTCAACGTTCTACCTTAGAAAGTTGTGACGATGTGATTAATGACTTAGGATTACAAATCGAAATGAATAAACATTCTAAGGAAGATATAATAATGTTAAAACAATGCATAGCAAACAATAAAGACGTTTTTGCAAAATCGTTATCAGATCTATCCTGTTCTGACTTAGTTTATCATACCATAGATACCGGCGATCATAAACCCATTCGCAAACGTGTATACCCAGCAAACGCAGAAAACAAGAAAGAGATTACAAAGCAGTGCAACGAATTTTTGAAATTAGGATTTATCAAAGAATCAGTATCACCATGGAGTGCAAGCGTATTACTCGTTCAAAAGAAAGATGGCACTAAACGATTTGTTGTTGATTATCGCAATTTGAACCAGATTACTAAACAATTATTTTTTCCTTTACCAACTTTTGACGATGTTGTAGAAAGTCTTTCCAATGCAAAACCAAACATTTTTTCAGTTTTAGATTTACGTTCAGGTTTCTATCAGTTACCTCTTGATCCTGAAACAGCACACAAAAGCGCATTCAGCACACACGACGGACATTACGAGTTCACAAGACTTCCTCAAGGACTTGCCAACTCACCATTTTCATTTCAGCTACTAACTCAATCGGTTTTAAAACGTTTAACAAACATCACATGTTTAGTATATGTTGATGATATCATTTGTTTTTCTAACGGAATGAAAGACCATGTCAAACATTTAAATGAGATCTTTAAACGTTTTCGTGACGCTAATCTGAAATTACACCCTAAGAAATGCCAGTTTGCAAAAGACAAGGTACTTTACTTAGGATACTACATTACTGACAAAGGCTTAGAAACTGATCCTGAAAAAATTAAACTTATTCAAAATTTTCCATTACCCAGTAATTTAAAATCATTACGATCATTCATTGGTTTAGCCCAATTTTATAGACGTTTTATTCAGAATTTTTCTAGCATAGCAGCACCTTTGTTCAATTTGCAAAAGAAAGATCAAACATTTGATTGGACTAAAGACTGTCAATCAGCTTTTGAACAATTGAAAGATGCTCTAACGAAAACTCCAACTTTGAAATATCCGGACACCACGAAACCATTTATTTTACACACAGATGCATCATCCATCGCCATTTCTTACATACTCCAACAGAAAGATCCTAAAGGTATCATCCGACCGATTGCTTTTGGAGGACGCACGTTGAAACCAACGGAGAAAAATTGGACAGTCACAGAATTAGAATGTCTTGCTGTGTTAGAAGGATGCAGAGCATATTCGAATTATTTGTCAAACAATCATTTTACCGTTTACACTGATCACATTTCTTTGAAATACATTAATAACTTGAAATTTTCAAACGGCAGATTACTTCGATGGGCAACATTTTTGCAAAATTTTTCATTTGATATCGAGCACGTTAAAGGCAAGCAGAACATTGCTGCCGACACTTTATCACGCGAACAGATTCCAAGTGAACACACAGAGGATGCTGAGACACACTTTGAAAACCATTTGTTAAACATCAGTATCAATAATGAAACAGAAACTTATCATGACGATACAATCCACACCATTCAAGTTAATATTGATCCCACAAATATCATGTCAGATCAAAAACAAGATCCTGATTTTCAGTCCATCGTAACGTATCTCGAGAGAAATACACTCCCAGATGATGAGAAGTTAATGAAGAAAGTCCTCGCATTAGCAGATCAATACACAATTCTTGACGATAAGTTATATCATCTCCAACCAGTACGTTCCAAACGCTTAGCAGCCATTCAACCTGTTACAAGACAATTATGCATACCTGCTAATTTGCGAAATAATTTATTAGAAGATTATCATGATAAAAATAATCACCCAGGTTTAGACAGATTGTACTCCACGCTGAAGC